CAATTATTCCCATGAGCGCAGGAGGATCCCTTATTATTAAACTAACAGATATAATAATTACTTGGTACAGATTTTGACCCCTTTTTAAATACTGGCACCACATTGGCCTTACACCAATCCAGTGGTACTATGCCAGTCATTAAAGAGTCCCTAAAAATTAGAAACAATGGCTTGGAAATGAAAGCGCTCAATTCTTTAAGGACCCGTGAGTGTATGCCATCCGGTCCAGGTGGTTTATTCACCTTTGTCTAAATAATGTTTTGTCTAAATAAATGTTTACAGCTAACAAATGAAATCATGTTATGGTCACTGCTACCCAGATGTTCTTTTATATGGACATTCGTAATAGGCTCTGCATGGTTTGAGATTACCAGATCCAGCAGAGCATCATTCCTAGTTGGGGCCTCTATGGATTGTACCATAAAATTCTCCTGTAGTAGGTTTAAACTTTTTTTGCCCTTTAACTGTTCCTGCAGTACCATTACTCCAGTCAAGTTCCGGGTGGTTAAAATCCCCAATTATTATCACTGTCCCAGCCCTTGCAGCCTTTTCGATCTGTGCAAGGAGCTGAGTCTCCACCTCCTCATTAACACTGGGAGGCCTATAACAAACTCCAATGATTACCTTTGAAGTACACACCCCCAACATGGAACTACCGCTATTTTATTCTCTAGGGTTTCTACTTTCAGAAAATATATGTTTGGGAGATTTTGTGTAATCATCTGGACTAAAATTATTTTTTAAACTTGTGCAAAAAAAACGCATAAACTGCTCTGGCAGCAAAAGGGATAAAGGATTAGTCTGACACTCCCCTTTCCTGAGGAGCACCCAATCAGTGCTCATTACACTGCAAGGTCTCTGTCCTCCCTGCTAGTCCCCGGGTGCGGTGCTGGAGACAGGCAGGGAGGGGAGGAGGACATAAACAGTGCAATGTCAAAAATATTAAAATTTTTAAAATACCCAGACATTCCTAAAATCACCTCCGATTTAAATATGGTTTTGTTAAAAAAAAAAAAATAATTTTTTATCTGGACAAGTATATTGTAATGAGGGATAAGTAGATTGAGGCACTGATTTAGTCCCTGGACAAGTCGTTTTCCCAAAAAATTTCCACACCCGTTATTTTCGTCAAAAAAGTGAATTGATCCTTTAAGGTGCTCTCTAATCCTAACATAAAGAGGCATAGAAGGCCTTCCGACATACTGTATACCCCAAGAGCATTCGATCATGTACACAACCCCCTTCATTCTACACGTGATGAAATCTCTACTTTTATATGTTTCTGTAGCTGAGGCTAAAAATTTAAGCTACAACCATAATCCCGGTATCAGTTTTTACTGCCAGCGATTCTCTTTTGAGTAAAAGTAATCTGAGAAGCTGCTGGAGTACTTTTACAGGTGGCAGAATGGTGTCTAACTGCCTTTAGCGGGCTCTCCCAAGCAATCGGAGCCCGGTAAGAATTCAACCGGCAGCATCTGGCTCTGGGCACCCAGTTAGAGGAACTGATGTTCATCCCACTGTTTGATGTCAGAAACCAGAAGCAAGGATGATTTTGTCACTTTCAGTTTCTGCCCTTTGTTTACTGGCTAGTTACCAGCCAGTAAAGCAACTGTTCAGACAAATCTGCATCTAATTGGCTGCATTGAAGGCCAGAGGAGAGACCTGGGGTCTAACAGACCCCAGATCTCTCCATAAAGAAGACCTGACACAAGGGATGTTTACATTCCTTGTTACAGCAATACAAATGATCAAACAATTTTAGAGAAACTGTGTAAAAATAAAATAAATATTAATAAAAAAATGTTTTTAGCACCCCTATCCCTCCGTGCTCACGAGCAAAGATGAACGCACGCATATGTAAACAATGACTGCACCACACACATCAGGTATCACCACAATCAGAGTGAGAGCAATAGCTCTAGCACTAGAACTCTTGTGTAACTTAAGATTGGTAACCTGTAAAGGCATTTAAAGCATCACCTTTGGATAATTTAAAGTACCATACTTTGTCGCCATTCCACAAGCATGTACAATTTTAAAGGGCGACAGGTTTGGTAGCCATTTACTTGGTGTCACAGAATCTTTAATATACAACCGAAAAATGGTATTATATTGTGTTTGTGTTCACTAAAATTTATGAACCACATTTTTTTTTTTCCCCAAAAAAAATTGCGTTTGAAAAACTGCTGCGCAACTACCATGTGCCATAAAAATTGCAACACCCACCATTTTATTTTCTAGGGCCTTTGCTTAAAAATATAAAAATGTTTGGGGTTTTCTATTGAAAAAAAAAAATTACATGTAGGAGAAAAATTGGTCTGAATTGGCCTGGTAGGCAAGTAGTTAACGAGCATTAAATTTTCATAGGGTGCTTGGTGAACATTAACCCCCCCTGGCGGTATTCCCGATTGCACCTCGGGGTTAACTTTCAGTACCAGAAGCGGAAACCCCAAGCCACAGTCGGGATTATACTGCAGCATTGCTCTGGGATCCCTCCAGCACTTACCTTGTCCTGTGGTTCCGGGTTGTCCCCCCTGCAGCGTATCCGGCCGATGCCGGCATCCGTCTTCTGTTCCCTGCAAGCGTCGGGGCGTATGGGGGACGGAACCGGTGGGAATTTAAAAAATTTAACGTTCACTAAATACACTAAAATCTGATAGTATTATATTACTGTATCAAACCATTTCACATACATTTTGTCCCTAGTGCTTTATCCTGTGCCCTGCCTGCATTTTTACTGTTCTTTCTGCCTGGAAACTGAGAAACGTCCATGGCGTCCAAAAAGCATCCCTTTAGGTCAAAAGCGGTTTTAGACCAGCTAGAAAACAGCGATAGGAAATTAGAACCACTTGCAGAATTGAGTGATGATTCGTGGAGAAATTCGTCATCAGACACTGAAAACGATTTTGCGACTTTGCTCAGTGATGTGCGAACTTGGCGCTATATTTCAAATTTCAGTGTTTTTGGTTTGATTATATTATTTAATTAAATTTATTATTATATTTTTTATGATTAGTTATTAAATTATAATTTATGATTTCGTGTTTAAATTTTATCATACCCGGGATGTTTACTAGACTCTTGTTTGGACAGATTTCAGTGAGTTATTCCTAAGAATTACAGGCCTACAATAAAAAAACATATTTCCATTGAAAACAATGTACCGCTTTGAGCACAGAAATACTGACATAATCAGACCGCTAGGGAGGTTAAATGCATGTCAACCGCAAAGGACAATGTGTGCTAACGCAATAGGTGCATTTGTTCAACATCAGTTTTTTACACAATTGTAAATATGGCCTTTGCTTGCTTGAAAATAATAGATTAAGAAAACTGTATAGAGCAAGACCTGATGCCAAAGATATCGGATAAGAGATTCTGGATTTCTATGTACTTTAGCCCTTTCGCTGCCAGGTCTGTAAGGACCTCACAGCAGGGGGTTTTATACACAATACAGTGGCTGCAGCCATCGGGATTGTGTATAAATCTGACAGGCAGACTCCTACCTGTCAGGAGGAAGCAGTCAGATGGCTTTGCTGCTGCCGATTGCTTCCACAGCCTCCGGCTGCGGTGCCCTCCCAGCCCGCAGGTGTGCTTCCACCATGTAACTGGGTTCCACTTGCCCATCTGCAGGCTCAGGGAGATCCATGGTGGGGGCCACTTGCCCATCTGCTGGCCCAGGGAGAGCAATGGTGGATGGGCAAAGAGAGGAGAGTGGATTAGCATCTGGTCCCCTCCCCTTCTTTGTGTGACCTTGAAGGTGACATCCATGACGTCATTTCCAGGTCACAACTGTCACTTTCCTGGTTAGAATAGCCAGGGAAATATGCATTGCAATGTGGTTTGTAATGTGATACATCTAATGGAGCTCAGAGGAGACATACAGGGTCTTTTAGACCCTGCATGTCTCAATAAAAAGAACCTGTCACCAAAAAAATTTGAATTTGTTTTTTAAATAAAATAAACTTACACCCAAGCACATAACATCCCTCCCCCCAAATTTTTTTTTTGAGGCCCCCACCCCGCATACACGAACATAAAGACACGTGTTGGGGCGCCTACAAGTGACACTGTCAACTGCGATACATATTACATATCGCTGCGCACGCCGGAGTGAAAGCAATAATTCTAGCAGCAGACCCCCACTGTAATGCCAAACTGATGACCTATAGGGGCTTTGAAAGTGTCTATAGAAAATATAGGGAAATTAAGTTTGATGCAATTTCATAAGCGCACACAAATTTAAGGTTTGGCATGTTGGGTGTCTATTTACTCGGCACAATCTCATATTTTATATTTTACCAAAAAATTGGGCAATTTATTGCCTTTGCAATAAAATCAGTGTGATTTTTACTGAAATTTTGCATTTCCTAGACCTTTTGCAATAATATGGTGCGACATTAAAAGTTTAAACTACCGCTGTTTTATTCTCTAGGACAGGGGTCTCCGAACTATGGCCCTCCAGCTGTTGAAGTACTACAAGTCCCATCATGCCTCTGGGTGTCTTGCCTGTGGCTGTCAGTCTTGCAAAACCTCATGTGACTTGAAGTGCCTCAACACCTGGAGGGCCATAGTTTGGAGACTGTTGCTCTAAAGCAGTGTTTCTCAACTCCAGTCCTCATGGACCCCCAACAGGTCATGTTTTCAGGATTTCCCTCAGATGAAACAGCTGTGGTAATTACTAAGGCAGTGAAACTGATCAAATCACCTGTGCAAAATAATGGAAATCCTGAAAACATGACCTGTTGGGGGTCCATGAGGACTGGAGTTGAGAAACACTGCTCTAGAGTGTCTGCTTTCAGAAAATATATAATGTTTGGGGATTTTATGTAATCTTCAAGCCCAAAATGATTTTTTTTTTTTTTAAACGTGTGCAAAACAGCTCTGGCAGCGAAAGGGCTAAGCGAGTGCCCTTGTGATTCTGTGTCTGTCCAGCACAGCAGAGACTGCAAAGGTTAACACCTCAGAGTGGAATCTCTCCAGTCACCGCCATCACTCACTTCTTTTCCCCCTCAAACAACAAGAACGATTCAAAGGCCGGCGGCGCGTTCATCTTTGCAGCAAAACTCTTCTCGCCTTCAGTCTATTCCGCTGCTCTGTATACAACGCAGGTGCGTCCAACGTCACTTCCTCCTCTCACGTTCCGTTCTCTCCCACCTTCCGTCTTCAAGAACTGGTACTGTCTTTCTGTCTAGCGGCCATTTTGCAGTAGACAAATTGGCTTCTGTGGAGATGGTCGAGGTTATTTAGGCTCCCTTTATAAAAATCTTGTGTAGAAGTGTCTCTCCGGCCTATGTTTGTTTTAGGTGTTGTGTGAGAATCCTTTTTTTTTTGTAAAATACCCTCATGACTTCGTAGTTATTACGTTTTTTTTTAGATGTGTACCTTCGCCATATTTTGTATTCTTAAAAGGACCGCGAGGGTTGTTAAATAATATCTTCTTGTGACGGTGTCTTACGAATAGGAAAGTTTATTGCGTGCTTCCCTTTTCAAAGATGGCTCTTTTCCACACGCCGCTGCCTGTCACGTGCGGCAACGCTGTGCAATGTTGCCCTTCCCCTGATTGGTCGGCGGTGTGCGGGGTTGTAGGGTTGAGTGCTGCGCAGGGGATTTCGCTGGTGCCCAGACCGCGGCACTTCTAGCACTGCGTCATATTATGTCGTCCCAGGTAGAAGCGGCGGCTGCTGTGGAGGATTCTCAGGAGTCCGGGAAGTTGGACGGCTGTGGACAGGTAATAGAAGGAAGCGGGGCACGCTGCTGGGCTGTGTATATGTGGTGCCCCGGGGGCTGAGGGGGCACACGAGGGAGGAGAGCTCACACACCACCTGTCACATTGGCCGTACGGCTCTGCTCCATGGCCGCCAAAGTCACTGTGGACTCCGCAATGTGAGCCGTGTTTACTAGTCACGGGGAGGAGGAGGGGACACAGGGCTAAACTTGTGTACTCTCCCCGACCCTCTCATTCCTTCCCAGCCCCGACAGGTCGGTGAGCTGCGATCACTGCTGGGAGTGCAACACACTTACATAAGCCTTCCTTGTCTGATCTCCGATCACCCAGAACATGGAGGACAGGACTGCTGCACAGCCAGGGCGATCTTTGCTCAGCTACACACCACCTCCCATCACTGCCACAGGCAATCCTTCCCTCTAGATTGGCTTCAGAAGACTCCTAAAAGTTTGGGATTTCTTTTAAATCGATCGTTAACTCTTTACACCATTTTGACAACTTAGCTGACAGTCCTATTGAAGAAGTATAGGAGCCCTGTAACCCCAGGCTCAGTCTGGTTCCTTCTGTCAGTTTTTCAGACACATCCAGGCAGAACACAAGCCTGTGTCTGTGGGCAGGGGAATTAGTCCCCGGTCACACTGGTGTGACTTTTCATGCGATTTGAACTGTTAAATTCACATGAGAAGTCTCACCCAATTGTCCGCAATGCGGTCAAATCAGAGTGGTTCTGATGATGGGGTCCTGCGAGATGCCGGAACGTCGCACTTGCTGTAACTGTGATTGCTTATTAAAGATTTGGACCCATAACTGGAGATCCTTGGTGTGCTGGTGCCGTTCTTCCCATCTGACTCTGGCGGAGTCGCATCGATTTTGAAAGTAGTTCACGCACTTCTTTTTGCAAGTTCAGGTGTGACTTGCATAGAAATCTATGCATTATGTCGCACATATATCTTGCAAGTGGCAAATGAAGTCGCACTGGCATCTGCCTTTTTGAAGTCGTGCGACTTCAGTCGAATTTGATCTGACTTAGAATGGACAGAAGTCCATTACATCTGCTTAGTGCCTGGTCATACAGGTGTGAATTGAAATTGCACCTAATGAATGTCAGTGTCTTACTATGTGCGATTTGCTGCAGCGCAATTTCTAAAGTAGTTCTTGCATTACTTTTTTCCGCAGTTTTGTTGCGATTTCACATAAATAGAATATAATGGAAATCGAACTGCAGCTTTCAAGAAATCGTTGAAAATGTTCACAAGTAGCAATAAAGTCTTCTGAAATTGAAAAAAAATTACACCATTTTAAATCGCAGCAGTGTGACCAGTGACTTAGATCCGAGTCTGTCTGCAGAAAAAGCACAAAATGTTTTTTTTTTTTAGGCTCTTTCTTTCTTTTTTACCTGGTGGTTATTATACAGGATTTATATAGCACCAATAGTTTGCACAGCGCTTTACATCATGAGGGCAGACAATACAGTTACAATACAATTCAATACAGTAGGAACCAGAGGGACCTGCTCGTTAGAACTTACAATCTAAAAGCGAGGATCAAGTGATACAAGAGGTAATAATTGTAGGGAACAAGCTGACGGAGAAAATAAGAGTACAGTTTTTAGATAGGGACAGGATAGGCTTCTCTGAAGAGAAGGGTTTTCAGGGATTGTCTAAAAGTGAGGGAGAGAGTCAGACAGATTAGGGTAGGGAATTCCATAGGATGGGAGATATTCAGGAAAAGTCCTGGAGGTGAGCATGGGAGGAAGTGACCAGGAAACTAAAGAGCAGGAGGTCTTGGGAGGAATGATGAGAATGATTTGGTTGGTATTTTTAGACTAGGTTAGTGATGTAGCTGGGGGCCGAGTTGTGGATGGCTGTGTAAGTTGTTCGTAGTTTAAATTGAATTCATTGGGTGAACGGAAGCCAGTGGAGGGATTGGCAGAGAGGAGTGGCAGACACTGAACAGTTGGTAAAGTGGATGAGTCTGGCAGCAGCATTCATGATGGACTGAAGGGGCATAGCCTGTGTAAAGGTAAGCCAGTGAGGAGGAAGTTGCAGCAATTGAGGTGAGAGATGATCAGGTTGTAAGAAGCTTTTTGGTGTCATTGGTTAGGAAGGGATATATTTTGGAGATGTTTCAGAGGTTGAGGCGACAAGATAAACTGAAAGGAGAGTTCAGGATAACACTTAGCACCTTGGCATGCAGGAACGGGTTGATAGTTGTGCTGTTGATCTTGACAGAGAAGTCAGAGGAGGAAATATGAGGTCAGTTTTGGATAGATTGAGTTTGAGGAAGTGATGTGATATCCAGACTGATATGTCTGTTAATAAATTAGTGTTGCTGGCCAGTAAGTCTGTTATTTTTCAAAAGAACAAGCTCTTCAGCAGAATGTATCAGTTAAAGGATTGAGACAAAGCATTGCTGCTTTCTCTCTCTTCACAGGATGCAAAGCCATTGGCTCCTGCTGATGTCAATTAAATCGTGAGGAGGGAGCAAAGGGTGGTGCCAAGTCATGCTGTGTGTCTGTCTACAGATGCACACAGCCCAACTCAGGAACGAGCCCACACATGCTCCCCTATAGCAAGCAGCTTGCTATGGTGGCGTACACAGAAGATGAGGCGCTAGAGCGCCAACGGGAAACCCCAGAAGAGGTTCAGGGCTGCTCCGTTCGTTGCAAGTATAACATATTTAGTATTTTGGGGGAAAAAAGTGTAGCCTTTACTTCCCCTTTAAATAGTTTGATTAGGCAAAGCGACCTCAAAGAACTATTTCCTTTACTAACTGAGGTGGCTGCTGTCAGCACTGTTTAAATTGTATGTAGCATCAGCTACATACAGTATACAGCACTGATATGGGGTATTGGCTGAGGGGGGCATATGACGTCAATTTCTCCACTTCAGCCATTTGGGGGTATTCATTGGAAAAATACAAAGCTTCCTGTGAATGGATGAGAAGTTCTTAGTCTGCCTCAATTTTGTTCTGGCAGCAGACAGGAAGTCCCTATACCGTTTCCTGGAAACAGTGCTGTAAACCATATGTAGTTGATGCTACACCCAGTTTATACAGCGCTGACAATGGCTGCATCAGTTAGTAAAGGAAATGGTTTCTTTGGGCCATGTTGGATCAAACAAACTATTTAAAGTGATAGTAAAACTGAAGTTGGGCTTTAGAGAGGAACGTCACTCCTCCCCTTTGTTTTGTTTTTCCCTTTTACCTGTACCACTGGTTGTGCAGGTAAAAAAAAACAAAAACATGCCCATTGAACCCAGTAATGTCTTGGCAAACCTGCTGCTTCGCCGCAACATACAAGGTCCTGTGCCATCGTCTTCTATGCTGATGTCATCGAGGGGGCCAGATATCGCATGATTTTGCACTTGGCCCCCTGATGATGTGCTGCTACGCATGCCTGTAATTTTACAGTGCCTGCACATTGCTCCAAAGCCTCCTCAAATGGGTGATGTGAGTATCCCAGGAGGCTTCATTATGGGGGGGGGGGGGGGGGGGGGGATGTCATGCTCGCCTAGACAAAATACCAAGAGGCATGGGGCTAAGGACCTATGAAATTTATTACATGAACCCCAGGAGCTTTATTCCATACTGTAGTAGTATGTCCAGCATATTAGCTAGGATTGCACTGAAATTTCGGTGGCCAAAATGTTTCGGCCAAAAACACCCCAAAATAAAAAAAAAAGCACCAATACAGGTGCCGAAAAAACCCCACTGCTGCCATCGGCCTCTGCTCAGTAGTTCTCAGCCTTACCTGAGAAACCATCGATCCCGGCGCTGGGCATAGAGATGAGTGAAGGAAAGATGGCTGCCACTCATCTCTATGCCCTTGGAAGACCAGAGTGATGTCACTTCCTGTTATGGCCATTTTGTTTTTTTTCTTAAAGCACTAGATCAATACTTTTTTTTAATCTAATGATTTACATTGCGGAGGAGAGATGTGGGGTCTTATTGACCCCATATCTCTCCATAAAGAGGACCTGTCACTAATTATTTCTATCACAAGGGATGCATGCATTCCTTGTGATAAGAAAGGTGACAGTGCAAAAAACCCAAAACATTAAATATATAATAATAAAAATTTTTTTTAAATTGCCCCGTCCCCCTATGCTCGCATGTAGTGGTGAACACATATATAGGCTATGCCCACATATGTGTTCAGTGTTTAAAACCACACACGTGAGGTATCGCCACGAACGTCGGAGCGAGAGCAATAATTCTCGCACTAGACCTCTGTTTGTTTACACTACTAACCTGTAGACATTTTTAAGGCATCTCTAATGGAGATTAAGTACCGCAGTTTAACGCCATTCCACGAGCATGCGCAATATTAAAAGTGCATCAAAAGTGACATGTTGGGTATTTACTCGCCGTAACACCTCTTCATATTTTTACAAAAAAATTGTGGTGTATATTGTTTTTTTTTTTTTTTTTTTTTGTTTTAATTAATCGGTGTATTTTTTCCAAAAAAAAAAAATTAATTTTTAAAAACTGCGCGTTTTGGTTTTCAGCCAAGTGCACTTTGAATTTTCGGTTTTTTGGCACCAGAATTTTCATTTCGGTGCACCACTAATATTAGCACATTATAGCAGGCTTACCTGCCAAATGATCCCCACCAGTGCTGCAGTGTCAATCCTCTCAGCTTCCATCTTATTCTGCTCTTTCTTCCAGGTTCATACTCCTTGACCTTTCAGCTGCCTTTGACACAGTCGACCACCTGCTCCTCCTCAGTAAACTCCACTCCATCGGCCTCTGTGACTCTGTTCTCTCCTGGTTCTCCTCTTACCTTTCTCAGCGCACTTTCAGTGTCACAACAACTCCTCCTCCTCCGCTTCCTCTTTCTGTTGGGGTACCCCAAGGTTCTGTTCTTGGGTCCCTCCTTTTCTCTCTATACCTCCTCCCTGGGCCAACTGATAACCTTCCATGGCTTCCAATACCACCTCTATGCTGATGACACCCAGATCTATCTCTCCACTCCCCAGCTCACCCCCTCAATCTCCTCACGT